GGTCAGCTCTGTGGCCAGGGTTCAAACTTGTGTCGCAGTGGCTTTGGAGAGCTTCATAATGTGGTTGCTTATCCTTTTGTGCCATCAGGGAGAGCCCGACTTTATCTTTTTTTTATTGCTGACATCATACAGTTTTTATTTTTGTCTGACTTAATATGGTCAAGGTCCCTCCAAGGTATTGCAAAAGGTGAGATTTCTTTCTTTCTTACGGCTGAGTAATTCTCCATTGTATGTATACATGCCACGCTCCTTTACGTGATGGGCACGTAGTTCATTTCCATATCGTGGCTGTTGGCAACAGTGCTGTAGTAAGCAGAGGCTATCACTTTAAGATCCAGTTTCATTTCCTTTGGGTATTAACTGAGAAGTGGGAGTGCTGGATCCTGTGGTGGTTCTATTAATTTTTGAGGAAACTATGTTGTTTTCCATAGTGGCTATACCAGTTTGTGTTCTTACCAACACTAGGGTTTATATAGGACTTCTGTATGTGGGAATATTATGTAAATTTGAAATTGTTAGAATGAAAATATTAATGACACGGAACGTCAGTGGCTACTAAGACTTAACATGCATTACAATCCTACTACCTAGTGTTTTGTTTTCAGTCTTGAGGGAAGTTAGCACGCTCAGCTTCCAAATTCACAAATCATGTCAGTGCAGAGACTCAGCCGAGAATGCTGCTAATGGTGTTGGGGTCTTCCTCTCCTGTGTGTCCCCAGGCGCAGTGACCCTACAGGCCGACCTCACTCTTGGCATTCAACAAAATTTGGGGAGAACCAACCTGATGCCAGCATGATGCAAATATCTCAGGGCACGATTGGCACTCCCTGGTCCCAGAGCTACCATTCTAGGTAAGTGGCCATAACTGAACCCCAAAGGTTTTTCTTTCAAATGTGCTGTTACCACACACACACACACACACACACACACACACACAGTTTCCTTGTTTTGAGAATGTTTTTCTTACACTGAGTGTTGAATTCCTCTACCTTACTTCTTTCTGCATTCTCTTAGAACTAACATGTGTGCAAGTTAGCTTCCTATCCTAGGCTAGGTTGGCATGAAGAGAAGTCAGAATTATTTTGACCTTCACCTGGTCATTTGAGATATTTACTGGGTTTGGCAATTCTCAGTCAGACATTTCACAATTAAACATAACAACACGAGGGGATCCTGCTGCCTAAGGGTTAAGTCTCAGCACTATCAATGCTATGGCCTGAGTTGGATCCCTGGCCAGGGAGGTGACTCACATGGCACAGCAGACCTCTCCTGTCTCGCCCACTGTACCCCTCAGCAGTGTATTTCTGTACCTCTGCCTGTTCTGCTCCCCACTCTGTCTCTGGTGAATCTTCTCACTGCCCCTGCACCTCTGGCCTACATCCCAGTTCTGCTAATGCAAAAATCAATAAAAATTTTAAAAAATAACATTACATTAGAAAAATTAACAAGCTTCTTCCCTCATGCTTAATGTCTTTTTATTTTTTTTTAAGATTTATTTATTTATGCATACAAGAACTGGGGTACAGGCCAGAGATGGGGGGGTGGTGGTGGTAAGAGGATCCACCAGAGACAGAGTTAGGAGCAGAACAGGTAGATTCCCTGAGCACCACATTGCTGAGGGAAGCAGTGGGTGGGCCAGGAGAGGTCTGCCACTCTGTGTGGGTCACCTCCCTGGCCAGGAATTGAACTTGTTCTGCAGTGGCTGGGGAATAGCTTCATAGTGCTGAGCTTTAACCCACTGTGCCCCCAGGGAGGGCCCTCGTGCTTAATGTCTTTTCTGCTTTAGTCAAATATTTATCTTTTTTTATCTGAATGGTTTATGTATGTATTAAGTGTTTTAATTATGTACTTATGTATATGAATTCCCCACATGGTGTTTCTCCCTCTGTAAAGGCCGATTATCCAACTGAGCGCCAGAAACTAACATGAGGACTGCTCAGTACATACACTAGCTCCTGTGATCTTTTCTGTGTGCCTTCTTACCCTATTTTAAATAACAGCAAATCGTAGCTTACAGAGACTCTCTCATCCAAGATGAGATAACAGAGGTAGCTGAGTCAAGACTCAAATCCAAGCCAGGATCAAAGCTGCTGCTTGTAACTACTCATTATACTTCCTCTGCATTTCTAGTGATTCTGTCTGTCAAAAGACATGTCTCTTCTTCAATCAGAAGAGAGCAGAGCAGAGATTACAAATCTTATAGAAGATGAGATTTGTTGTAATAATCAGACCTTACACAACAGAAAAAGTCAAGGGAGAGGGAGCCAGACACGACCACCCAGACATATTAAACAACCAAACAACCGAGACATTCCCCTACACTATAGAATTGAAACCCACACAAATCGGGATCTGTCCCCAGGGTGTTAAACCTACCCCTTATCACCACTAAGAGTGCTTGGGTAAGGGTAATGGTAAGGTTACTGTTGGGAGGGTCAAGATAAGATACACAAATAAGATACAAGTGCTGATAAGAGGTGAGGGCTGGTGCAGGTGAGGGAAGCTTCTGAAAGGAAGCTTAACTAACAGATAGTGGTCATACCTTTGGCAAGTCTGCTGAGGCTCACTCAGAGTCCTTAACACTAATGACTCATCAAATCAACGGCCATATCATAGACTGTCCTTAGCGAACAGGCTCATGGAATTGGGCATTATAAGTCTCTTCTAACATATTGGAATTTTCTTTAGAAGGCATACAGAAAAGATCACATCCCTTAAAGACATAC